CCTACTTCCGTAGTGATACTGCCTCGGAAACCCAAGGAGGGGTCGCTATGAGTCAGGTTTGACTCGACGGCACATAACAACAACAACATACCCATCACTCATCTGTAAAAATGATAATTTATGCAGTATTTTCTCCAGCACTCTCCTATCACTTGTTTTAAAGTAAACCCCACCATCACATTATCATTTTAGTAAATAGTTCAGTGTGTATTTCTAAAAGATGAAAAAAGCATTTTCTGTTTTTCACATGTTAAAAACTCTTTAAAGAATATAACCATACCTTTAAAAAGAATTAATTCCTTAATATCATTGAATATTTGGTTAGGGTTCAAAATTCCTCAAATACTTAATGATTTTTTATGCTGTTTATTTGTGTGAATTAAGGTCCATATATTGGCTTGGTTGGTATATTTATTAAAGGCACTAACACTATCTCTTTTTCCTTAGAATATGTGTTGATACCTATATTTTTAAGCTAGTTGTCCGTTTTATTTCTTGCCTTATTTCAAATGGGCAGTCTCATTCAACTTTTTATGATGTGATTAGTATACACTTATAAAATTGGGGTATAATGTACATAAATTTTAGCTGATGAATTTTGACAAGTGTATGCATTATCAGTGTATCTACCACCCAGGTTACTTTGGGTTTTTTTTTTGTGTGTGTGTGTGTCATCTTTTTTGATGGAAAAAGAGTTTTGTTTCTGTAGACTCTCTAGAGTTTAAGTAACCAGAACAGCAAAGTACAAAGAACAAACATTGATTGTTACTAAGAATATAAATTGGGAATATGAAGCTTTCTGCTTTTCAACAGCCAGATTGGTGAATTAAGAAAATTTGGGGTTGGTAAATGCCTGCTAGTAGAGGGATATGTGTAACATGTTAGAGCCAGAGGTACAAAGTGTAAATGTACTGTCGTAGAATTTACACTGACTCAGTGTAAAGCAGTCGATTGTGTCTCTAAACTATCCTCTTAAGTCATGAGAATTATATGGTTATGGAGACTAGGAATGAGTTAACTGTAGTTGATGCACATAAGTATCTTGGTATATCCTTTGACGGATCTTAGCCAACTTGGTTCTTTCAGTCTTTGCTTTATCCCTGATTTGACTTTATTGATGTATTTAACTTTTGGGACTTTTTCTTGCTTGGCTTGTTTTGATAGACTAGTGCATTGATCTTAGTTTGAAGGACTAGTAGGAAGAGAGAATGGAAGTTACAAAGAGTTAATGAGTGGCAACTCTGAAGAATCATCTTAAATACAACCATAACTACTAAATGATGGAGGTGGATGGCAGCCATTTTATAGATCTTATAGATCAGGAAACAGAGACAAGATTCTGATGTTTTATCCAAGGCCATACAGCTAGTAAATGTAAAAAATGAGGATTTCAACTGTGAACTTCTACTCCGGAACTCTTAAGATATTTTCACTGAAATATGCTGTCTTTATGAACATTAAAAACTTAAGCTTGCGTAACTCTGCCTTTCAGAATTCCTGCTTCTTAGATATGATGATCTTTTATTTAGTACATGAAAAAACAATCATATTTAAAACTTAAAATGTCAAGTCAAGTTGTGCTAAAAATTTTCTTCAGGAACGTGCAAGTCGTTTTGTTTTAAGGGAAGGCTCTGCACTAAAAAGGCAGTAAAACAAAATAATTTGTCTAGTGCCTGTGGTACAGTATAATCACATTAGACCAGTGTTACTGTTTTTAAAGGTAATTATAATCGGCCCTCTGTATCTTCAGATTTCATGGATTCAACCAACCACAGATCAAAAATTATGGAAGGGGGGGGGATGGGGCTGGGCATGACAATTAAGTGGTCAAAGCAGTTCCTCAAAGGCTAAGGGGGAGTATAAAGTGCTGTTTATATACCATTTAATTGTATTAGGTATTAAAGTAATTCTGAGATGATTTAAACTATACGGGAAAATGGGCTGGGTTCCATTTTCATTTTATATAAAGGATTTGAGCATCTATAGATTTTGGTATCATTGGGGTCCTGGAACCAGTCCCCTATGGGTACTGACTAACGTAGTAGGAAAAGAATTTACCGGATTGACTTTAGACAGTTCAGGAAGTGAAGCATGGCTTTCTTACAACTTGAGAGTACTTAAATTTCTACTTCTTCATTGAATTTGTAGTTACATTTTTATGATGAAAAGCTTCTATTTTTACTTTATGGAAAATAGGGGCATTTAAAAAGTTTTATTTTTAAATTTATAGTAATATTAATATAAATTTGTTTTTGAAGAGGTGATACCTTTTATATGTTTTCAGATTATATGCCTCTGTTAAGATCTGTATATGATTCAGATTTAGTTTCAAATATGAAAAAAATGTTTATTCTCCTCCTTTTAAAATCTTGAAAAGCACTTTAGCAATCATTACTAATGATAATCACCAGAACTTTACTTCATTTGGGTACTCTATTTTATAAACAAATTCTGGATTATAAATATTTGCATCTAAATTACTACATTTACTAAGCTTTTTCTAGAATTTTTTATCTCTAGCTAAGACTTTCCCACTCTGGAGAAAAACATTCTGGATTGTTTTAAAAAAATCTCTTTGTGCTTTGTATCCTCTAGAAATAATGTAATGATTTCTAAGATATTTTTACATCAGTCTCTTGGGTGAAAATTAAAGCATCAAAAATAAAACAATCCAATCTTAAGAAAACAACCTTTCAAGAAAACTCACCATAGTCTAAACAGAAAATCTACTTGTCTTTTCCTTCGTTTTATTGAGCTTTTATATTCTTAGAAGTAACAGATTTCAGAAAGAAGATCATGGTTTTCTATAATAGAAGTATGTATTACTTTTTGAAAGGCCTTTTTATGTAAAGTTGCTTGGGTAAAACAAATGGAACAACCAGTTAAGCTCATTCCTTCTGTACTTATTTTGAACTTCAAAGCTCCTAGTTTTAACCTCTGGTTCAGTCCCATCTTACTAGATTTAAGTGGCTTTTGTTTTGTTTTTTTTTTTCATGCAGGTTCTGCTCATTAATCACCACGAGTGTGGATCTGAAGAAGAGTTTATTACTTCTCTTTTTTTGAGTATGTTAAACTTCAGATACACACAACGTAGCCTCTCCTTCCCTATTAGATTCTTAGAAGGTAGTTATATTTTTTATAGTCTCCTTCTTGTGACTTTGATAGTTGTGATCAATAAGAATAAAAACTATTCCTTACATACTGGGCGACTGCATGCAAATCAGTTCATTTAAAACCTCCTGGAGGTCTTTGGCATGCCAGACATAAAACCATGAGTGTGTGTTTGTGGAGGTAAACATGTTCTAAAGAAATTTAATAGTTTAATTCTTTTAACAAGAATCTGAGAGTGTTATCCTTTAGGTTCTGGGAATCAGTTGACTTTAAAGGGCTTGCTTTTGGTGTGTGATTTTCAAAATTAATTTAAAGTGGGAAGTGGTAATTAGAAATGTTCTTGTGGTATTTAGATGTATCTCTGAATGAATAGTAGAGAGGAAATTTGCTTGCATTGTTTCTGTTATTTGTTTAACAAAAATAGCTGATTTACTTACTATGTTTTATTAGTTAAACATTAATGAGCATATATTTTTCCATGTTTGTAATTTTTAGATAAATTAATGTACTTTTCTTGTTAAATGGATATGATGAATAAAATATGATACATACAAATTTACTTTTTTGGTACATCTAGGGCTGGAAAAAAGAAAGAATTCTGGCTGAGTATCCTGATGGCAGGATAATAATGGTTCTTCCTGAAGACCCAAAGTATGCACTGAAAAAGGTAAATTTCCAGTCAGATTTCATATAGAATTCATAACATTTACAGCAGCTCTTAGAGGATAACATATGCTAAGCTCAACTCATGCTAAAATGTTACAAACAGGTAATAGTTCAGTGCAAGTAAAGGTCTTAAGTCCTTCCCTTTCATGTTTTTTTGTGATTCCTTTTTAACAGTGCTGACATAGCACATTTAAACACCAATTCTGAAAACAAGATAAAAGCATTTAATTAATTAAAAAGCTATGCTAAACTTTATAGTATGAGTCTAGCCAAAGTGAATTGAATTTTAGGTGAATTGGCTACTGTCCATTATTACCAGTAATGTCAGTGATGTGCTAGAAGGCATGCTAGCTCAGTTAATGAATAATGCCAAGTAAATGATTCTGAGAATTAGAATTAAAAGTTGAATCATAATAGTTGTGAACATTTAAATTAATAAAATATCAAGATTCATTCTAAGACTAAATTTCTAAATAAAAGCTATTGCAGAAAGGGAACTAGTAAATACTATTACATATACATTTCTGCATTAATAGTAATAACAGTAATCTGTGAGTGAATACAAGATGCTCAAGCTGAACAGGATTTTAAGAAAAATAAAGAAATTGGGGGGGGGGAGGGACCTAGTAGACATAAAAACCTGAAATTAAATATGAGGTAATACTGGTTGGCATAGTGCCTAAGGCACTTGACTGCTAACCAGAAGGCTGGTGGTTCAAACCCACGAGCCACTCCTCAGAAGGAAGGTCGGGAAATCTACTTCCGTAGTGATACTGCCTCGGAGGGGTCGCTATGAGTCAGATCCTACTTGACGGCAGTGAGTTTGGTTTGGTTTGATTTTAATAATATAGTAATAAGGGAAAATAAAGAGATATTCCAATTTATAAATAAGGACAATCCTCTTTATTTAGTGTGAACCAAGTCTTAGTCCAACTTGTTGTTGTTGTTATGCACTATCAAGTCGGACCCAACTCATAGGGACCCCTTCTTGGGTTTCTGACACAGTATCACTACGGAAGTAGGTTGCCCCATCTTCCTTCCGAGGAGTGGCTGGTGGGTTTGAACCGCCAGCCTTCTGGTTAGCAGTCAAGTGCGTTAGGCACTACACTACCAGAGCTCCTAGTCCAACTTAGAGTTGCATAATATAAGGATTCAGAAAGTTTTATTGTGTTGAAAAATGAACCAGGGAGATAATGAAGCCTGGAACTATTTCATTACATAAAACCAAACCCAACCCACTGCCATTGAGTCGACTCTGACACTTAGTGACCCTTATAGGACACAGTAGAACTGTGTCCTATACATAAGTTTCCAAAGTTCTAAATCTTTAGAGAAGCAGACCATCTCATCTTTCTCCCATGGAGTGGCTGGTGGGTTCAAATTGATAGCCTTTTGGTTAGCAGCCAAATGTTTTAACCACTGTGCCACCAGAGCTCCTTATTTCATTATACAGAATATCTGAAAAGTTAGGCACTATAGGATAAACGTTCTTAAAAATTTTTTATTGTGGTAAAATACATATAACACATTTACCATTGTAACCATTTTTTAAGTATAAATTTAGTGACATTAATTACATTTACCATATTGGGCAGCCATCACCACTATCCACGTCCAAAAGCTTTCCATCACTCCAAACAGAAACTCAGTGCCCTTTAACTAACAACTCCAATTTCCCTCTCCCCCAGCCCTTGGTAATGACTAATAAACCTTTATGCATTTGCTTATAGTAGCTATTTCATATAAGTGAGATGATACAGTATTTGCTCTTTTGTATCTCACTTATTTGCAATGTTTTCAAGGTTTATCCATGTCATAGCATATACTAGAACTTCATTTCTTTTTATGGCTGAATATATGCTGCATTTTGTTTATCCATTCATCTGTTGATGAGCCTTTGGTTGTTTCCATCTTTCGGCTCTTGTGAATAGTGTGCTGCAGTGACATTGGTATGCAGGTTTCTGTCCGCATTCCTACTCTTCAGTTCTTTGGGGTATATATCTCAGAATGGAATTGCTGAATCATGTGGTAATTCTGTGTTTAACTTTTTGAGGAATTGCCAAACTATTTTCCACAGCAGCTACACTTACATTCTCATCAGCATTGCAAGAGGATTCCAGTTTCTTCACATCCTCACCAGTACTGGTTATTTTCCAGTTTTCTGATGATAACTATCCAAGAAAAGGTGAAGTGATATCTCATTGTGGATGTTATTTGTATTTACCTAAAGATTAATAATGTTAAGCATATTTTCATGTGCTTATTGGCCATTTATGTATCTTTTTTGGAGAAATGTTGATTCAAGTCCTTTTCCATTTCTTAATTGGGGTATTATCTTTCCTTTGTGGGATTGTAGGAGTTGTTTATATATTTTGGCTATTAAACTAATTTTTAAGTAATATGTTAATTATGTTTTAAGATAATAATAATAAAATCCTTTTTCAGAGGTATCTTATAATGTAAAGCAGTAGACCCAATTATTTATGTGAAAAAATTAAAGAAATGCACGATATTGTACCCCAAATCTCTGTAAACACAAAGAAAATAGCATGTATTATGCTTTCTGCAGGTTAACAATTGGATCTCTTTAAATTTAGAAATATTTCACTTGAAAAGGAAGTTGAAGAGAAGCAGTTTGAGCCCTATTACATAGAAACTATAACTAACATTCCATTTAAACCATAAGTTTATCCTATAGTTCCTGACTTCTCAGACACCGTGTGTGTTAATCCCAGGTACCCAGGTAGGCTTTCATACTACCACTGCCTGACAGTATAGACAGTTGCACTTGAATGACAGACACAGAAACACAGCATATGTGTCATGTTTGAAAAATTGATCCTTACATGAAAATAAATACTTACTGAATTAATGTTTGATCAGTGATCAACTAAATGGATATTAAATTACGGAAGTTTCAGAATCCATCATTATGCAGAAATGCACAGCAGAGAACTTTGCTTCACCCCCAGATGTAGAAGCATACATTTCTCTTTAAGAATCTTCAGTAAATGCCAGTTTCTTCCTTTTGGTTTCTCAGGGCAAAATCCTAGTAGCCTGTAATTCAGTAGGTTAATAGTTAGAATCCATAATAAACCAAACCAAAACCAAACTCACTGCCGTGGAGTTGGATCCAACTCATAGCGACCCCTCCTTGGGTTTCTGAGGTGGTATCACTGCAGAGGTAGATTGCCCAGTCTTCCTTCTGAGGAGTAGCTGGTGGGTTTGAACCTCTAGCCTTCTGGTTAGCAGTCAAATGTCTTAGGCACTATGCCACCAGAGCTCCTACTCCATAATAGATTAGAAATTAAAATCCAGGGAATTACAAGTCATTTGTCTATAGGAACTGAATTGAGTGTTGTATTGGATACTGATCCAAGATTAGGGGGGCTTCACTTTACATCATTGAATAAGTTGTAAGGTATGTGATATTCTGCATATCAGAGATATGAATACTTAAGCCTGATAGAGGTCGTTTGCATTTTTAGACTTAGTAACACAAATGAATATTGAACTGAATATTTGGATATTTTTAAGTAGGAAGGGACTGATGTTTTAGTGTCTATGAAAGTCTTAGCTTTGAGTGTCTACTAAGTTCTGAACTTATATATGACTTTGACCACAAATCTAAGTAGGATATTAGAACTGGAAGAAGCACAATTTGATGCCATATTAACATTTTGGGTCAAACTCTTGTCCTTTGGTTTTTTAGATGTCTGGTGTATATGATAAAGGAAAGTTACTCAGTCTTTTGGTTTTATTTCTTCCATATGTAAAGGGAGAAACCATAAACCTTCAAGAGATGTTAAATTTAAATGAAATAATATTTGTAAACAGCTTTGCATAATTTTTGGCCCATAGATAGTTGATAAAGAGTTAAACATGAGTTTCTTTCTCTGTTAGCCACTTTCATTTTACTGATGAGAATACTGATTGAGGTTTGGGGGGAAAAGTGGCTTGCCCAGCCAGAACCCTCCAGTGAAGTCCTCTCCACTTGACAAGCCCATGGTGCTTTTAATGGGAAGTCTTAATGTCTCATTACCCTATTGTAGGTGCTCTCACATCTTGCTTTCTAGATTGCTGTAAATTAAAACCTGTGCTTGTCATCACTTCCAGTTCTCCCCCCAATTTGGAAAATGGTCCACAAGTCTTAAAAACAAAACAAAGCAGTTAGTGATTAGCACACAGAGTTAGTCTTTCAAAATAAGTTTGGAGGATATCCTGTTTGGGATATACTTAATTTATTGAAGTTGTATTTTATTTTATACACACACACATATTACACACACACACATGTGCAATGCTTTTATTATTAAACAAAATTATTGTTCTTTATTTGGCAGGTTGATGAAATTAGAGAGATGGTTGATAATGATTTAGGTTTCCAACAGGCTCCACTAATGTGCTATTCCAGAACTAAAACACTTCTCTTTATTTCTAATGACAAAAAAGTAGTTGGCTGCCTAATTGCAGAACATATTCAGTGGGTAAGTGATTTTAAGATTGCTCATAAATCAGTTGGTGTTCAGTGAGTTTACTGTGTAATCTTGAAAACATAATCCTGATAAATTTATCTGTGTTTTATATAAGGAAGAGTATGAATGCAAGAATTCCAGTGTGTTATTCTTTAACACAGTGGAATTATATCTTATGTGGGAATTAGTTTCTCAAGTTAGAACATAAGATAAAAATTCTATAGAATCAAAAACCAAATCAAACCAAACCCATTGCTATCAAGTTGATTCTGACTCACAGTGATACTATAAGATAGAGTAGAACTGTCCCAGAGGGTTTCCAAGGCTGTAAATCTTTACAGAATCAGACTGCCCTATCTTGGTGGGTTTGAACTTCTAGTCTTTCAGTTTTCAGCTGAGCACCTAAGCACTGTGCCACGGGGGCTCTAATAGAATCAAACCCACTGGCATTGAGTTGATTCCAACTTGTAGTGACCCCCATAGGGTTTCCAGTAGTGACCCCCAGAAGGTTTCCAAAGCTGTAAATCTTTACAGAAGTAGATGGTCCCATCTTCTTCCCGTAGAGCATCTGAGGGGTTTGAACTGCTGACCTTCCAGTTAGCAGCCAAATGCCTTACCCAGTGCACCACCAGATCTAATAGAATCAAAAGTACTGTTAAGTTTTAGAAATACATATATTTTTTAAAATTGTGATTTGGGTGAAAGTTTACCAAGCAAATTGCTTTTTTATTCAACAATTCATACACATTTTGTTTTGTGACATTGATTACAATCCCCACAGTGTAATAACAGCACTCTTCCCGCTTCCTCCCTGGGTTTACAATTACCGTTTGTCCTTCTTTTCTCCTGCTCTCTGACTTCTGAGCTTCATGTCTGGGCAAATGCTATTTTGATCTCATATGGTTGATTGTTCTAAAGAGTGTGGCAGACCTCCCTGGTGTTATTGTTCACCTTATAATATGTCTGTCTATTATTTGGCTGAAAGTTGAGCCACAGGGTGTTTGGGAAATTTCTAACGTAGTGTCTGCCTCAATATATCCCTCTTGCACTAAAATAAATCAAAGGTTCGTAAACTACCAAACCGAACCTACTGCCATTGAGTCGATTCTGACTCATGGCAACCCCCATAGGGGTTTCAAGGCTGTAAATCTTTATGGAACCAGACTACCTGTTCTTGTCCCTGCAGAGTGGCTGCTGACCTTTTGGTTAGCAGACCAATGCCTTAACCACAGTGCCACCAGAGCCCCTTGGTAAACTGTAAACCAAAAGTCAAACTCACGTGCCATCGAATTGGATCCGACTCATAGAGATCCCTCCTTGGATTTCCGAGGCGGTATCCCTATGGAAGTAGATTGCCCAATCTTCCTGCCAAGGAGTAGCGGGTTTGAACTGCCAGCCTTCTGGTTTGCAGTCAGGTGCCTTAGACACTACACCACCACTATAGTCCACAGTAAAAATCAGCCTATTTGTAAATTAAGTTTTACTGTAACATAGCCATACCCATCTGTTTACATTCTATCTGTGGCTGTCATCTCACTATAAAGGCAGAGTTCAGTTATTGCCAAAGAGACTGTCTTGCCCTCGGTAGAAAGTTTGCTGACCTAGAAGAGATCATGGTGCTTTGGCTGATTACTAGATAGAGTAATTGGCTTGTGCTTAGGGGCCAAATTATAAAAATCTAAACAAAACAAAAACTGGTATTTTTGAATTCCTATACTAGTTCCAAAAATGATTTGTAGCAAGCAGTGTTAAATTGCTTTTAAGTTTTGCATCACATCTTATCAGTGGGCACGTCGTGCCCTTTTTGGAAGCTAAACTGACAAAGGACCTGTATGGTTTTAAAAGTACTTTTTTAATTTAAAAAAAAAAAAAATGGAAATTGGTATGAGGAAAGGGCCTTGCTAACTTCTTAACATCCTCTTCCATCCCTAGTCCTAGTTCCCACACAGCTGTGAACCCTAGAACTGTGGCAACAATCGCAAAATCCTTTGTTGTTAATACTCCTAAGTTCTTTCTTTTTCTTTTCTTTAAATGCATTTTATTAAAATATAATTTATGTACAGTGAAATACACAAAACTAAAGTGACATGGGTCAATGCATTTTTTTTTTTTTGCTGTGTTCCCTCCCCTCGCCTCCCACCCCTGGCAACCACCAAAGAAAGTTTCCCTCCATGTATAAACCTTTCCTTGACTCTCCACAACAGCGAACTAATGCTATATTTGTCCTTTTGTGATTGACTTATTTCACTCAGCATAATGTCCTCCAAGTTCATCCATATTACATGGTGTTTTGTAGACTCTACATTATTCTTTAGTGCTGCATAGCATTCCATTATGTGTATGTACCATAGTTTGGTCATACACTCTTCTGCTATAAATCTTAGAGATAAGTCCCTTGCCAGATATGTAATTATTAGCAAATATGAAATTGTTGCTGTCATTTTTGTTATAAGCTTTTTCATGGTGTCGATTTCTTTGTCCCATATAATTTTCTAAACTTAGCTTATTTTGTTTATGAATTGTGTTATCACGTCCTTCATTGCAATTGTTTTAGTATTTTGAATATTTACGCTGGTCCTCTTTTTTGATGTGAAAGTTTATCATTTTTCTTTGAGGTTACCCTGTGATTTATAGTTTTCTTCCCAAGTTTAGAACAGTCCATTCTATCTTGTAGTTGTCTTGACTTCCCTACCATTTAGAAGTTCTGTAACGACACAGTTTTTTTCCCTCTTTTTGGTTTATAGTTGTCCTCATTTGTCAATTGATGTCTCTGGTTCCCTGTTTACAATCTTGTAGGCTTCTTTACTTTGGATACTTCCATAGCTGGGTTGGTTTCTGGGTTATATCATCATGTGTGTTAATGGTCAGTTGTTGTTGGTTGTTGTTGCTTCTCTGTCCAAAGGGGTTCTCTTTAGCATCTCTTGTAAGGTTGGTCTGGTTTTAACAAATTCCCTTAATTTCTGCTTATCTGGAAATCTCTTAATTTCACCCTCATATTTGAGGGATGGTTTTGCTGGGTACATAATTCTTGGTTGGAAATTTTTCTTCTTCAGTTTTACATATATCATCCCATTGTCTTCTCACCTGCATGGTTTCTGTCGAGAAATCCGAGCTTAGTCTTATTGGTTGCCCCTTGTAAGTAACTTTTTGTTTTTCTTGTGCTGCTCTCACGATTCTTTCTTTGTCTTTGCTTTCGGTGAGTTTGATGATGATATGTCTTGGTGATTTTCTTTTGGGGTTTGTCCTGTTTGGGTTTCATTGGACTTCCTAAATGAATATATTCTCATCTTTCATCATACCAGGAATATTTTCCTCCAACAAATCTTTGACAGTTTTCTCTGTGGTTTTGTGTCTTTGCCTGTTCTGGAATTCTGATTACATGTAGGTTATTCCTTTTGATGCTATCCCACATGAACCTTAGGCTTTCTTCTTTTTGTTTTCATCTTTTTTCTGATTGGTCCCTTTCCAAACAAGTGTTCAGGTATTTGCCTTCAGTCTCATTAATTCTGTCTTCCATTGATTCAGTTCTGCTCCTTTGCCCATTCAATGTCTTATTTATTTGTAAAAATTTAGTATTAATCTTCTGGATTTCTGTGTGTAGATTTTGTATCATTTCTCATTTTTCATTTATTTTGTCCTTTTGCTCTTGTATTGTCTTTCAAAATTGTTCTAGGGTTTTCTCTGTGTTTTCCTTGATCTGTCTCTCAATTTGTTGAAGATACCTAAACATAATTCTTTTGAATTCCTTATCAGAGAGTTCCAATGCTTCATCTTCCTCAGGGATGTGTTTTGGGTCTGTATCCTGGTCCCTTGTTTCTCCTGCGTTATCTTGCTTCTTTGTGTGGACTGTGATGCTCTGTTGTCTCCGAGGCATTGTGACATTTTTGTGTATATATTTAATTGGTGATTGTATGTTGGAGTGACTGACCACAATTTTTGTTTTCTTTGTTTTGTTTGTATGTTATCTACCCAGGCAGGGTACTGTGCTCCTCTATCAGCTAGTTGACTGCACTTACACACTCACCACTTGTCTCCTTTCCTCTTGTCAGCCTCTTGTATGTCCCTGCCAACCTTGGCAAACAGATCCTATTTTTAAGTCCCTGGAGTCTGAATGAGAATGCTATCAGTTTAAAATCCAAAATGGTTGCCACTTGTAAACACTCAAAATGGCTGCACCCTTGGTCACTTTAAATATCCAAAACATCTGCCGCATGTAAACAATCAAAATGGCTGCGCCCTCAGGACAGCAGAAAGTCAACAGCTCAGGTTGTCTCCCTCCTTGCTGTTTCCCTTCCTTGTCATAGGCCACCAGTGCAGTCGTCCCTGCAGTCCTCGTGACCAGGGCTGATCCCTAGATCAATTCTCAGGTCCCAACACCACTTGGCAATATTCAGGCTGTTGGTCCCATCAGAGTAGCTGACAGTCCCTAGCTCCGACTGTTTTGTGCTGTTTTTGTTCGAGTTTTTCCACTAGTTGGTGCCACAGCCCCTTCTTTATATTTCCTTTCAAAGCTCAGGGCTCCAGGATTATCTTCTGTATCGCTGTCAGTTGGTTTTTCTTTTCTTTGTTGAAGAGGGTCTGCATCGCTTGTTTGCCTATTCCTCCATCTTACCGGAAGTCCACTCCTAAGTTCTTAATATGTACTTTGGTGTTCCTTAGGATCTGGAGGTGGAGAGAGTACTTCCTATTACAGGCCAGCTGTGATGGCAGGGTGCTTTGTATGTGTTATCTTAGTTAATTTCTCAGCAATGTCTTGAGGGAGATGGTGGATATCCCCAGATTATTGGTGAGGAACCCAAAGTTTAGAGGAATTAAGTAATTTCCCCTCATGTCACATAGCTGGTGAGTTAGAACAGAATGTAGATTCAGATTTTTTCCTAAAAATGAGAATGAAAGCAAAAGTGGTCCCCATAGTTTGTTAAGAAGTCAGATAGTTGTGATCTCCTCACAGTATTACACAACTGCTAATTAACTTTCTCATTTACAAAATGTCCCCCAATTTTGACACCTATAGGGCTACAGAGTTATAGAAGAGAAACTTCCAGTTACTGGCACAGAAGAAGAAAAAGTTAGATTTGAAAGGCAAAAAGCCTGGTGCTGCTCAACATTGCCAGAGCCTGCTATCTGTGGGATCAGTCGAATATGGGTATTCAGTATGATGCGGCGGAGGAAAATTGCTTCTCGCATGATTGAGTGCTTAAGGTAACCTGAATGTAATTCTTCAAAGTATTTTCATTATATATGCATTTAAACAAAATTTTAGTAAAAAGATTGGCTTTTAATTAATCTCAAGTTTATTTCTATTACTATTTTGTGTAAGATCATCACTGCTTTTTATGTAAATGTAATTTGAGGAAGAGGAAGGTGCTATAGATTAAATATTATTAAAACACTTTGATTTACTTATTTGTAACCATATTAGGCCAAAAAAAGTGTAGTTATTTTAATTTATGTTTGATACTAGAGAATTTTAAACACAGTGAAAGAAATGTGGAACGTTTCTTAGGAGTTTAGCTTTTAGGGAAATTTATGTTAATTCTGGACTATTGTTTGTAAAGTATCTAAATCTTATTTTCTTCTTGCTTTTTACCACTTGATTGTTATCAAAGGTATAAAAGGGACACTCAGACAAATTGTATATTTTTTTGTTCTATAAAGCATCTCTGTTGAAGGGGTCATAGTAGAACTAAAAATTCAAATGAAGTTTTTAAGCCTTCTTTTGATTTTGTTTATTCTCAGAATCCCTATCTATTATTATCTGTGGATATGGCTTTCCAAATAATCCATCACTGTTATGAGATTCTAAGGCTCTAATGATCATACAACCTTAATGTGTGTCTGGTCTGTCCCCCTTATTTTACAAATGAGTAATGATCTATAAGGGCTCAGCTCTAACTAACTATTCTTGTCATGACTGAGGCAGGCATTTTTTTTTTAAATACATTTTCTTGAAATATAATTTATGTATAGTGAAATACACAAAACATGGATCAATGCATTTTTATTTTTATTTTTTTGGAGTGTTCCCTCCCCTCCCACCCCTGGTAACCAACAAAGAAAGTTTCCTTCTGTATATAAACCTTTCCTTGACTTTTTACAATAATGAACTAATACTGTATTTGTGGCAGGCATGTTTTTAGCTCCTTCAGATCTAAGTCTAGAAAATGCAGCTGATTAATAACTCTAAAGGAAGCTATTGCTCCTCCTTTAAATCTTGTAAACTTGGTTCTTAAGAGGAGTGCAAGGTGGTTCTAGTTCATTAAGAAAAAATACAGCAGTATTGTTACATTGTACTGTGTGATAATGAAATTGTCACCATAAGCTTCCTGTTGAAATACTTTTTGCATTTATTGTTCTAGTGCTCCTTAAGATTACAGTATGAAAATTCTTCTAATAGGCTATATCCTAGATGAATGTTTTTATTTATTAACAAGTATATTGAAATTTAACTTGTATACCATAAAATTCACCTTTTAATAGTGTAGTTGAGTGAGTTTTAATATATTCACAAGGCTGGACAACCATCATCACGATCTAATTTTAGTGTATCCCCATCGCTCTAAAAAGAAGCCCCGTACCCATTAGCAGTCATTCTGCATGACCTCCTTCTCTCTGCCTCTGGCAACCAGTAATCTGCAGTCTGTCTCAATGGATTTCCCTTTTCAAGGATTATCCGTGGGTCAGTACTTCATCTCTTTTTATGCCAAATGATATTCCACTGATACATCATGTTTTATTTATCCACTTACCCACCAGCCACTCCTCGGAAGGAAGGTTGGGCAATCCTACTTCCAAGGAGGGGTCGCTATGAGTCAGGGCTGACTCGACGGCACATAACAACAACAACATCAGTTGATAGATATTTGGGTAGTTTCTTCCTTTTTGGCTATTATGAATAATGCTGCTGTGAGCATTCCAGTACACATTTTTGCGTGAACGTATGTTTTCATTTCTCTTGGCTTGGAATTTTCAATTCGTTTATAGAATTGCTGGATTATCATATGGTAATTCTGTGTTTAACATTCTGAAGAACCGCCAAACTGTTTCCCCAAACCAGCTGTACCATTTTACATTCCTGACAGCAGCATGTAAGGGTTCCAGTCTTCCTTCATCCTCACCAACTCTTCTTACTGTCTTTTTATCTTAGCTATCCTAGTGAGTGTGAAGAGTATCTTATTATAGTTTTGATTTGCTTGCATTTCCTTGATGATTGATGATGTTAAGCATCTTTTCATACGCATATTGCTCTTTGTATATCTTTATGAAACTATGTGTTCAAATCCTTTGCCCATTTTTTAGTTGAGTTATTTTTTATTGTTTAGATATCCTGGAGACATGTCCCTTATCAGATAAATGATTTGGAAATGTTACCTCTCCTTCTTCAGGCTGTTTCTTCTTCTTGATGGTGTCTTTCACAGTACAAACGTTTTTAATTTTAATGTTCAATTTATGTATTTTTTCTTTGGTACTTTCAGTGTCTTAATTAACTGTTGCCTAATTCCAAGGTCATGAAGATGTATGCCAGTGTTTTCTCCTAAGAATTTATAGTCTTAACGTTAGGGCTTTGATGCATTTTTAGTTAATTTCTATATATGGTTTGAGGAAGAAGTCCAACTTCATTCTTTTACATGTGGATATAAAGTTGTCCTGGCCCCATTTGTTGAAAATAATATTCATTTCTTTGAATTGTCTTGGTATTCTGGTCAAAAGTCAGTTGACCGTAAATGTGATGATTTATATCTAGACTCAATTCTATTCCATTGGTAAAGATACCGGTCCTTATGCCAGTACTATACTGTTCTTGAATGTTGTAGCTTTGTAGTTTTTTTTTAAAGCCAGGAAGTATGAGTTCTCTTTGTTCTTTTTCAAGATTCTTTTGGCTGTTCGGTAGTGTCCCTTATGTGTGGCTGTGAATTTTAGAATCAGCTTTTCAATTACTGCAAAGAAGCCAGCTATAATTTCATTTGGAGAGTATTATCATCTTAACAGTTATTGAATCTTCTGATCCATAAATGTGGGATATCTTTCCATTTATTTAGATTTATTTCAGTAATCATCTGAAGTTTAGTTTTCAGTGTATAGTCTTGTACTTCTTTTGTTAAATATATTCCTCAATATTTTTTTTGATGCTATTATAAATGGAATTGTTTTCATTGTAACTAAATTCATTTTTAGATTGCTTATTTCTTGTATTATGGAAATATGGTTGGCTTTGGAGTATTGGCTGTCTTGTAACCTTAATGTACTTGTTTATCAGTTCTTACAGTTTTTTAGGGGGGATTCCTTGGTACTTTTCATACATAAGATCATGTTACTTGCAGACAGATAGTTTTACTTCTTCCTTTCCAAGCTAGGTATTTTTTACTTTTCGTTGCTTAATTGCCTTGGCTAGAACCTCATAAGATATTGAATAGAAGTGATGAGGGCACACAACGATGTCTTGTTCCTTAGGGGGAAAATACTCAGTCTTTCACCATTAATATTGATATTGGTTGATGCTCTTTATCAGATAGAGGAAATTGTCCTTAGGTTTTGAGTATTTTATCATGAAAAATTGTTGGGTAAATGCTTGGTTTTATTAAAAAAATTTTACCTCAAAATATTAGTATGTCAGATGATTATTTTCAACAATTTTTAGAACATTACATAAGAACACTTTCTAGTCAAATTGTGTATGATAGATTTTTCTCATGTTAATAATTAGAAATAATATTAATTTTCTTTACTCTTCCACGTTCCCTTCCCCCCCTTTTTTTTATAGGAGTAACTTTATTTATGGCTCATATTTGAGTAAAGAAGAAATTGCTTTCTCTGATCCTACTCCTGATGGAAAACTGTTTGCAACACAGTACTGTGGCACTGGTCAGTTTCTAGTATATAATTTCATTAATGGACAGAATAGCACCTAAAACAAATTCTTGCCTACAGTGCTGGAAGACATCTACTGAAGAATGGATTGATTGCTGACTTTAACCAGGAACTAGGGCCATTTTTATTGTAATGAACTCAGGACTGGCAACAACCATAAGGTTGTTCCATTTTCATAAAATTGGAAATAATGCAGTAATAGCTTATTATTGTTTTGTTTTTTAAAGAAGATATTTTATTATCTTTTACAGAAATTTATGATTGATGTATTTTATCTATAATTATTTAGACATGTTTACATGCAGCAGATAATTGTTCATAGTGGACTGAAAACTAATGCAAGGACTATGTGGTCTCAGTGATAAGTATATCTTGAAGTTCTTAATATGGAAATATACCAGTGTAGCTTGGTACTGTATTTTTTTATATTGATCTGCTGATACCAGTTATAGGCTTAAAAAGTATATTTTCACAGAGCAGAAGCCAGTGTTCTTGATTCTCTATATAAGGAAGGTACAGTATTAATTCCTAAAAGCCCTGAGGTATACCTTGAGAGAACCCCCATAGAGGAAAGCTCCAAGAAATAGGAAGATTTTAGAATATCTAAATTTAGAATCTCTCTTTTGTATCCTTAATGGCAGGTAGAAGTGGAAAGCGGTAGTTGTGGCTTTCCTTCTTGGAGAGCTATAAATGAATTAAGAAGGGCACCCTCTAAAGTTCATTATTCTTTCCTTTTGGTTTCACTTTTTTTTAATACATGGCAAATTGGCACACTTAGATTGTTAACAAATCCCAGAAAGGTTTATAAAAACCTATAGAATAGTTGTAAGATAAATGTGAATTACTTGGTATCTGCTTTGTTATTCCCTAGAAATACTGCACTGAGTATATGCCATCATTATTGGACTTCATTTTGATACTTGTCTATCCTTCATAATGCCCTCTACTTTTAAAGGGTTTATATGTTGAAAAACTGCTGTGGCCTTTTATGATCTGTATATAATGTAGAATAAAACAATAAAATACTTGATAGCTTTTTCTACGTGATAAATGTACTAAAAGATAATGGTGCGAAAGTGTGTTGTCATTTGTGCTTTTTCAGGGAGTTCTTTAGGTTTGAGACATTGAAATGTGATTACAGCGCTGGTTTCTTGAAAGATGGTTTTCATCAGTTTGCCCCAGAGGATCACTAGGCCTGTGAAACTGCTCAACTAAACTTTATCTCCAGTTGACAAAAAAATTCTTTGATTATTTTAGTAACATGATAATTTTCTGGTCTTTCAAAGAAAAAAAGGACCACAGCTAGTGTGGTTTAACTTGTTTTTATGAGATCAAATTATTGTATTTCCATTAAAAACCAATTAAAAGTTAGAGGCATAAATTAAGATCGGTAGACAGATGTACATTTTATCCCCTTCTGGACTTGATAACGGAGCAAAGGAGGATCATGGCAAAGATTTCTGGGGTAGTTGGGATTTTTGTTTTGAGAAGTTGAGTAGATAAATCTGAGAAGGGAGTACAGGAGAATTAGGATGGAAGGGCTAGACAGGGAAGGATGAGTTCAGTTTTGGTTAAGATTTTAAGGTAATGGCAGAATTTCCTAGGGGAGATATCTGATATGTTATATATATTGACTTGGTGTTCAAAAAAGTTTGGACTGTGTAAATAAATTTGAGTGTAATTATTTGAAGTTTGAAAGAGATCATCCTAGGGTTTGTAAAGTAGGAGAGAGTTGTAAGGAACATAGTCATTGAAGAGTCTCCCAAGAAGAGTAACTGGGAAGGTGTGGTACAAAGTAAGAGAACCAGGAGAATGGTAGAAACCAAGGGAAAACGTTCCAGAATTAGAGAGTGGACAACACTGTTATACCACTATTGAAAACTGAAAAGATTTGAAGTGACTTTAGAAAAAGAGCCTTTCTGGAGAGTGGTAGAGGTAGCAGTAGACACGATGTAGCAATGGCCAGTCATACGTCAAAAGAGGTTGTTTATATAATTGCTTATTATATAAAGGTGCCTATAAATTTTTTGTCAGCTCAAATAGTTGTTAGTTCATTTAAAAAATGTCTAGTGTATAGACATTACAGGGACAAGTATATACAGGAACCATGAGATTTCACGGGGCTTTCAATGATGATTAAAAAGGTAGCCCTGTCTGCGTGGACACATGATGGTTTTCATTTTATCTTGCAGTAATTATAAAAAATACTTTGCAAGTAAAAGCATGAACATTGTAAGGATAGTCAGTGTATAGCAGACATGCAGTGTTTTGTTCTTGCTTACCTGGTGTGACTGGCTACCCTCTGGATAGGAACACAGCCATATTATTATTACTCAGCCATATTTCACCAAGAATTGGGATTGCTGAGTTGATTCCTGGGGTGATGACTAAAGATAACTCTTCTCACGGCTCCTGGGCCTTCTGGCAGAAAAAAGGAAGGTTCTTTCTTACAGCATCTCCTATCCCAAGCTCCCTACCCCCAATAAAAAGAAAATACCTGGGACTTTTTATGGAATGGAGAGGTGGTCAGAAAACAATTTACTGTTGTTGGTTTTTCTTTCCATTTGTTGTCAGCATCACTGAAGTAAATGCTCAATACTTGACAGTTAAGAGCACAATGAATTTGTGTGAATGGCTTTGCCCTTGGCCCCAGAGGCCTTTCCTGAAATTATCTTTCGTGATGAGTTTCTTGATTGCAGTGTTGTTCTGGATCCAACGGAAGCTAACGGTCCAGTTTCCACGACTAAAGAGACTTGAGGAATGTTGGTTCCCTGAATGTTGTTCCAGGCCTGGGTACTTGGATAGGAAGGTACAGTAGTTGTATTTTCACAACTATTATTAGTCTTTCCAAGAGAGCTGCTTTGGAATATATCGAGGAACACTGGGAGTCTTCACTTACCCCTGGCATCTGTTGCGATACTTTCAGTTATTTATTTCCTCTTCTGAGGGGTAAAGCCCGGGACCTCTGGCCTAGTAGCGTGTTTTCATGGGATCTATATCAATTTCTAAGGAGCTCTGGTGGTGGTGTGGTTAAGGCTTTTGCCTGCAAACCAGAAGGTCAGTGGTTCAGACCCATGAGCAGCTGCTCTGCAGAAGACAGATGAGGCAGTCTGCTTCCATAAAGATTTACAGCCTTGGAAATCTAATGAGGGTCACTCTGAGTCACAACTGACTTGATGTCAGTGAGCTTGTTTTTGGTTTGTTACCAAGCTGTTACCACTTTACAGAATAGAACTAGAAAGTATTTTTCTGAGATAGAAAGTATTTTTCTGAGACAACAGTCATTTCCACAAAAGTTGGTAAAATTGGTAGAGTTAAGAAATAAATTAGAGATTAATACCTTACTCTGACAAGGGCACCAAAGTGATGAAGTGTAATTGATATCTAT